GTAGGGAAATCTATCATTGCTTTACAAAAGAAACCTAGAAAGTATCCGAGGAATTAAAGAGTGGAAATTCCGTGTGTTTTTTTCTCTCTGTTATTTGGTCCAAAATCAAAAGTGTTGATACAGGTTAGGAGTTTGCATGGTTCTGTGACTTCGTGTCATCGGAATGAAGAGGATTGGAATTTGTCCTTCATTCGAGCAATAAGCTTAAACTTTTCTTCTGCCTCAACTTGCTGTCTGAGGTCACCTCTTGCTCTGTCCGGATGAAATTTCAACAATGCTCGTTTATACGCCACATGGACCTGAAACCATTTTCAAGGTTGAGTAAAAACTAAATACACATACATATATATAGACTTGCACACACATGCATATGAATAGATGAACCACCTCCCCGCATAGAGAGAGAGAGAGAGAGAGACTAACCTCGTGAGGGAGGGGAAATGAACCACCTCGACCTCCCACAGGGATCCCCAGGCCTCTCAGCAACGATGCCATATTGAAACACGTGATCTCCAATCGTTTAAGTGACTTGCACACTTCTGCTCGAACTTTTTCTTTCATGTTCATGCTTTCTTCATCCTAAAAAGAAACACATATGAAAGCAATTTTTATTGAACTTGAGAAGCATATAGTGATTCCACTTCAATCTTTGAATATCAAGTGCTCAAAAAAATTGGGGAAAAACTGTTACCTTCTTCTGGGTCTCTCTCATTTCCTCCACTCTCTCCTTTTGCCTTCTTTCCATCTCTATCCGCCTCATGCTTTCTAACTTTATCCTCTTTCGTTGTCTTTGAGCTTCTTCTGCCTGCAAAAAACCAAGAATACAACGGTTTAGAGATCATAAAAGAGGATATTCCAACAAATGAGGGTGAAAACACTTTTTTCATAAACTATGGTAGATTGTAATTGGACCTGGATCTGTAACTGTCGTTGCCTGGACTCCCATTCTTCTTCTGCAGCTCTCTTGTATTCATCTGTCTCCTTCAACTTCTCTCTGCCAAGCATGATGTCTATTTCAGAAGGTGTACCAAGGTAATCATGTACTTGTCCACTTGTAGATGGAGCAGAATGGAAGATGGGTTCCCCTGTTTCACTTAAACATGGTATATCATTCTCAATCCTGACTTCCTCTCCCTGGGTCCCAGGCACAGACATCGTATCTCTGTCTCCATGAAAAGGCTGAGCTAAAGGGGACAAGGGCTCAGTGGCAACTTCTTCTCCGGCTTCTTTAGTACCAGAGAGATGTGCAGCCTCTTTTGTCTGATTCTTTTCGAACAATGGTGAAGCAGACATTTCATGTCGAACATGCACTTCCTCTGGCTCTTCTTCGACTTCATTGAACCAAGTTTGATGCATCGATCCTTTAGAGGAAGTTGTTCCGGGCGGTGGTGAAGAAGACCCTCCATGATCAACCGGTGTTTCGTCAGGCTGTGAGGAAGGCCCCTGACTGTTCTCTTCATTGCAGAAACTGGAATTAGCCCAGTTATTAGCCCAGTTGTCTTCGTCCATTTCAGAACCAAATGAAGTGGCATGGAAATCCCCATCACCATTTGGAAATAAAGAAGATTTTTCTTTCCCAGCTTCTGAATTTCTTGAAGAGAAAAAGGAAGATGGCTGAGCATCTTTTTCAGTTTTATTTTTAACTCCAATACCGGGATTAGTGTCACAGGGGATATCAAAATGACTGGCTTCCTCGCTCAAATCAGAGCTAACTTTGCCTGCTTTGTGCCTTTTTCTCAAGAAAGCTTTCTCCCACGGCTCCCGTACCTTGCTGCTCGACCCTTCTAAAACCTCACAATCAGAGCAATCACTATCAGACAAACCACCTTCAGATTCTGAACCTAAACCAAATCGGTTTCTAGAAGGGGCCTTCTTAGAGAAAGTCTGTTTGCATCTTGAAAATATGAAGGCAGAACATTTTTCCTGGATGACTTGACAATCATCATCATCCACTTCGGTAGATGTTTGTCGATTCGGGTCATCCCTGCCTGTATTTTCACTAACCCCGTCAGCACTGTTCCCAGGTGTGTGCACATTGTCTGGATCATGATCATGATCATCATCATCGTCACCATCATCAATGCTAATCACTCTGGGCGAAGGAGGCTCGCTCTGATTTCTTGATGCATCCGAAGACTTTAATTTCGAAGACTCGGGGAAATCAATAATGATAACATCATCATCATCATCTACAAGGATAAACTCATTGGTTACCCCTTCTGCGCTGCATCTTTTGGGCGTCCTACTCCGAGAACATGATCTAACATGATAACGCTCTCTCATTTCACTGTCTTCTTTTCACACAGATCTTCTGCTGCGCATAACGAGAATGCGTGATCAACTGTACAGAATTCAAGAGCACAAAGGAAAGAACTTTACCACAATCTGCACTTCCAAGGGCAGATATACATATAACTAAAGTGCCTGTAGGCAGAGGAAATACAACTTCATATCTCTCAAACTGAAAACAAGGCTTCATAGGACTAAATCTGGTAATGGCAAACACTTCGGAAGAAGGCTCTAACACTCATAAGCATCGTAAACACAAGCGAAATCGACTCAAAAAAAAATCAGGGGCATTCCCAGAAAACCTAAACACGATCGAAGGCGGGAACTTTCCCTCCCAATATTTCGAATTAACCCCACAACGCCTAAACCCTTTCAAGAAAAATCGAGAAAAGCAATCGAACTGGGGCGAATTCTGGAAATTAAGGTTTAGCTTCGAATAGAATAACAATCCCAAACTGAATCGAATCAAGTAAAAAACAAACCTAGGAAGCGGTTAAAGAGATACCCACAAACTCGAAAATCCGAATTACGTGAGATTCGAGGAGGAAACATACCTCAGAAGAAAGAAAACGAAGACGAACGAATTGAATTAGTCTTCCTTTAGTGGGAGGAAAAAAAATCAAATGAAAGGCGAGAAGAGATTCATCAGAACTTGGAAGATTTCCGAGTCCTGTCCACTGCGTTCTAGAAAACGCAGCATAAGCAATGGACGGTGACAGACGAATAAGAAATCGGGAAAGCGTTCGGCGATTGGTCAGTTTCTTAATTCCGTAAAACTACTGTCAGAGTAATTTTATTTTAGTATTTGTATGGATATCCCTTAACCTATCCTAATCTTCGAAATTATCCCTTATATTATTCTGGAGTCACTTGGGCCCTTTTTTCCCCCTAGAGTCCAAGTTTCAATTCGAAAGGAAGATATTATTTTAGCTTAAATGGAGATTATGCACCGCAAAAATTATGTGCAACCAAAAAATATAGGAATTTTAATTGATTTGCATTCTCCTTGGATTGCCAATATATCAAAATAATTTACTACAACTATGGAATAGATAGTTTTTTTTTTCCAAAATTTGTAAATAGAATAGTATCAATTTATATTTGGCTTGAGTTAGTTGCAACTTGTACGAATCTATAACGTCAAAGTTATAATAGCAAATTTTAAAACCCTGGTCTAGTTTAGTAATTTCTATAGAAATTAGGGGGCAAACGAGAAAAAGTCCTATTTTCAAAATAAACCTGTCAAGCGTACGGAAAAAGCTTTAGTAGCTTTAGAATAGACCACGACACGAAAGAGGAAAATTAGAAAAAAAGAAAAAAAGAAAACCCCATTGCGGTAATAGAATATTACAGTTAAGACCCAATACTATTATTTTTCACAAAAAGACCCCCACATGCAGACACGGATCAAATGTTTTTACAGTACGGAACCCTGGCTCTTGATCGATGGTTTTTTTTTAAAAAAATTTGCGTTAAGAGTCGTCAGGGTTTAGGGTTTGAACCAGATGAAGTAGGGTTAGGCTGAAGCACTGACGAAGGAGAAACAAGAGGAGACAACAGAGGAATCGGATCTTTTCTGTTCTGACACGTCGGACCACACGCCGCCGTCTCCGCCGCCGCCGCCTCCGCCGACGTCGGAAGAGAATAGGAAAACGACGTGGTCTTGGTCACGGTGCTGGGAGGTTTCGGAGGTAGACGAAGAGGGCAAGGAGCTCGTCTTTGAAGCCGGCAGCTCAGGGATCGTCTGAAAACGGAATCATCTTTGTGAAAGCTCGTCTCGAAGCCCGGAAAACGGTCTCCTCCTCTCCCTCTCGATTCCTCCATTTTTTCCGATCACGATCCTTTATCAATGGTTTTCCATATATATATATATTTAGGGTTTTTTTTTTGGTTTTTTTGGGTGTTGATTACTGATAAATTGCATCCACGTAAATGGATTTGTGTTCTGTAATAAAGTTTACAGTTTTATTATTAGAAAACATCTCATAAAACAACTGTTTCTGTCTCAGCCCTTATCTTGTTTTAGATCTTCCAATATTATTGGATTTTACCGATCAAAATTAAAACATTTAACGCTTTGCCTCTTTTGAAAACTAAAAAGAGGTCGACTTTACAATTTTCCTACTATTAAAATTTAATTAATTATGGATTTTTGATTGTGAAATTTGTGTAATTTATAAATATTGGAGGTTTTCGAGCATGCAAAAACTATAGGCCATATTTTAGATTTTCCTATAGCTGTGGGGTTTGGTTGTAATTTTTCCTAAGTTTGACTCGAACGTTTGCAAATTAAATCGTCAAACGAAAGCGAAAGCTCGAATCGGGAAAATATCGCAGAGGGGGAGATTTGCGATGGAGGATCTGTGGAAGAGAGCGAAAAGCTTCGCGGAGGAAGCAGCGAAGAAGTCTCAAACCCTAACCCTACCTTCTTCTTCGACGACCTTCGCCAATCTCGTGGCCGAGACCGCGAAGAAATCCAAGGAGCTCGCTCTCGAAGCCTCGAAGAAAGCGGAAAATATCAAGGTCTCCGATCTCGTCGCAGAGACCGCGAAGAAGTCGAAGGAATTCGCCGTCGAAGCTTCTAAGAAAGCGGATCAGCTCAAAGTCGCGGCATTGAAACAAGCCGATCAGATCCAGAACATCAGGTCGATCGCCGACATTATCCCTCCTCAGCTTGCCTCCTTCGGATCTGGGTCTGCGGTCTCGGACTCGGAGCTTCTCAGGTTCGGCATTACGGATGATCTTCGGGAGTTTGTCAAAGGACTGACCTCAGCGACGTTCCAGGCATTTCCTGTCCAAGGTATTTCTGATTTTTTTCCTTTCTTGTTCTTATGATTCATCGTTTCGCATTGGGAATCGGCAATCTTTGATGTTGAAAGCGGAACATGTCGATAGATGTAGATGAACAAGAACCGGAAGTTCCTGATGTGCCGGCAGCCCCGTCGAATATCCGGAAGGATCTCTCGGAGTGGCAGGAGAGACATGCCACGCTTGTTCTCGCCACTGTTAAGGTATAACAATCGTTATCCAACCGGTTTTACTTTCGAATTCAACGTTCTTTGATGTCATTGCTCTCCCTGGCAATCTATGTTCCTGAGTTGCTGTAAAATGTTGCAGCAAATCTCGAAGTTGAGATATGAATTGTGTCCTCGGGTCATGAAAGAAAGGAGGTTCTGGAGGATATACTTTACACTAGTGAGCACTCATGTGTCACCGTAAGGCTTTCTGATCTCTTCCCATAATCCATGTTGTATCTTTTGGCAGAGTCTTGATTTAGATTGAGAATTTGCATACTGGGTGAGTAGATAGGGACCATAGTAGAGGACCTGAATGAATGATTTTGTGAATGGGCTTGTGGAATGTTGTTACCCTCCATGTTGGAGAGACCTGGATGGTATTGATAGGACCCATGAGTCATTTCTTATGCGTTAATGAGTAAACGGCTTTCATGTTTCATTTATAGGATACTCCATTGTCTTTATGAACCATAGATAAAGCTGAAAGTGTCGTGGGCTTGTATTAGGTCACTTGGTTTCGGATGTAATGTATGATGGATTTACTTAGGTATGAGAAGAAGTACATGGAGGAACTTAAGAACAAAGCAGAGTCTAAAGATGAAGAAGGAAAGAAGGCCCCGGTGGTTGGAGAGACTGGAGATGCGGTAAAGAATGTTACCAAAAATAGAACATCTACCTCGTCATCAACGGAACAGGATCTGGATACATTCCTCCTGGGAGATCTGGAGGACAGTGATGGAGGACCTGGTGAGTTCTTCAGTTTTTTCTGCAACATGGTTATGAGAATTTTAATCTCTTGGGTCCTATTATTAACCAAATGCATGAGATGGCATGGTCAACATCTCAGAGCAGCCAATAGATTTTGTTTGGTCTTTCGGAAGGTGGGTTTTACTGATTTTGTACATAATCATCTTTCCAGATGACGGCGATGAAAGCCTGGATGACGATTTTGACAAGATAGGGAACTCCGTAAGAACTTTGTATTTTGTTATTTCCAACATTTTACTTTACAAAAAAGAAGGATAATAAACCGATAAAACCACTTGTTTGCAGGACGTTGAAGATGAGAAGCATTCTCCCAAAGCCGCAGCAAACTAGAATTGCGTTTAGTGGTGACACCATATTTGGAAGTATATGAAAGGAAGGTTCTGCTTTGATGATGATGATGATGATGATGATGATGATGACGATGATGATGATAGATGAAACGATGGGATGAAACGATGGGATTCTCCATCTCATCATCAGTCACCAAAATGTATAGGTTTGTGTTTACAGCAAATTCAAGACATTGCATTCATTAGTTTCATTTCATTTAGCGGATTATAAAATGAAGACAGACTATATCTATATGTCTGTTATATAACTCCAGTTTTGCTTCATGATGTTTTTTTTTTGTATGAATGTGAATTGAAGTTTTGCTCCATGATGTTATTCTCTCGTCTCGTCAAGCTACCCTTTGAAATATATATTACATTTCCTATATACGTAATTGTCTGAAAAATCGAAGATTTCAATAGTAAAACAGAACAAACGCTTTGGATTGGATTCAGATTTGTGTGTGTGTGTGTGTGTGTTTCATTGGAGAAAGCCCTCAACCAAAACCCAGAAGCCGAGCATTTACAGCCATATATTATAACCAAAGAGGAAAACAAAACATCATCCAGCCAATTGGGGCAACAGGGAAATCAAATGATCAATACACAGACAGTGTTTTTGCTATGTCTTCTTCACGCGCTTATGAGAATGATCAGATTCATCCTCACTGTTTGGATCCTTAGGCTGGGGTATCCCTTGATTATCAGATAACTGGTCCTGGAATATGAAGACAGAGATCAGGGCATGTCTCTGTCAATAGCCTGTACCTTTCAGTGTTCTTAAAAGTTTGAGAATTTCTTCTTTTACCTTTGCAGTGAGTGATGCAAATGTTGGCCCTTGATTGGGTTGTTTCCCGAGACCGATCTGCACGGAAAGCCTAGCATGTGATAGATCGATGCCGGCCTTCTGGAGTGCTTGTGTCAATGAGCTTAATAGCCTGTTCACAAAACAAACCAGAGAATTTTAACACTTTAGTGCACGTGTTCATGTTAAAAAGCTGAGATGAAGTCGGACAACATTGCTCTCGACCTTTACTCAAACCATTTTCCATTCTTTCAGGTGTCCAAAATCTCTTACATGTCTACTTCCCAGCAAAGAACATCGAGGAAGTAAAGAAGCATATCGAATCTTCGATTGTATAACATGCACCCCATATAAACGAGATAACTATACCGCAGAAGGGCAGAAACATAAAATTTACTCACTCGTGAGAGTAGACACTAGAGATGTTAATTGTTCCCCCTTCGATGACTAGTTCCTCGGTTTGACATGGAACATCACTCCTTGCAGGGCTTTCATTCGATTGTGCACTATGTGACGGTTGAGGAGTCGGTGCAACTGACATGGACAGAGATAATCCCTTGCTGTCTACCAACTCTGGCTGCCTATCCATTTGTCTGTAGGCTACATCCATGCCAGGTTCAGATTCAGCTGGATTTTGAGCTCCAGGGACAAATGCAGGTGCAGTCGTCATATTATTCTCCTTGAACTTCCCTGGAAATGGCGTCCCTGGACCAGACCCGTTATTTATAGTATGCGGGTGGTTGGCAAAACCCTGAACCCGCCAGTGAGTATTCCTCTGTTCAAAGCACAAAACGTCAAAATCATCCGAGAGATTCATAAAGAGTGGCAACGAAAAGGCTTACATCTTTTAGAATGAGCAGTTTTTAGCTTAAATAATGTGTTGTGACAGAAGAGACAAACAACAGTTTCTAGCTTAATGCTACGAAATTAGTCAATGTACTCAGACGATTGCAAACGATCCACCACTGTAAGAGGCCATCTTTAATTAGCAGTAAGCTATGTCAAGAACTTTCCAAAGCAAGATATCACTAATAATATACAAAAAGAAACTGAAATAGGCACAGACATAAGATCTAAGACTGTCAGAAGCCTGAAATTTACCCAAGGTATCAACTTTGTTGGTTCGGGACTCCATCCGGGATACGAGCCTTCGTACTTTTGCACCTTCTCTTGTAAGTACTGGGCATATTCTATCACCTGGAAGTAAAACAATGGTTTTATTACTAAGTGAACAAAAATCTAAGGCAGGAGTTCTCGGTTTAACATCATCCAACATAAAATACCTCTAATAAGAACGAAGCTGTATCGCGTTTCTGATCACTATGCGGAATTAGTTCCCTCAATATCTGAAATCTGAAAAGAGATCATCTCTAATCAAAAGCTCTGAGTACATACAGAATTCAACAGAGTTCAGAACATAAGATCAAATATGGCATTCCTTAGTGACTTGGTCGTATATACATCATAGAATGCTACAATCACCAATCCAGGTTAAGGCAGTGTAGAATTCAGATCAAGTCCTTAGCTTTCACTAAAGTTCAATCTGATTCTTCATGGCAAATTAGGACAAAGACCACGATTTTGCACTGTTTGTTCTCGATCGAAAAAGAGGTTTCGAGTATAAACCGATCTCAAAATTCTCCTTCGTAATCAGCATACCTTTCATTGATTTTGCTTCTTCTTCGCTGCTCCGTGACTGAGTGTTTTGAACGTATTGCAGCCTTGTCACTGTTCTTAGCATCTGATTCAAATCAAAACCAGAATCGGAAACAAGCCCAGAAAAAAAAAATTGGTCTCCGGGATTCGACGCAATCTCGTTCAATCCACCCGAAAAACAAGACGGAGCCATTATAATCCGACGAAGACACAACATAACCCTAATAAAACAAAATCGCACAAAGCAGCAGGAA